AAGTAATAGTGTGTGTGTGTGTGTGTGTGTGTGTGTGTGTGTGTGTGTGTGTGTGTGTGTGTGTGTGTGTGTACAGATATGCTATGAGTGAAATCCTGGCCCCATTGACATCATTGGCAAAACTCCTATTGATTTCAGTGGGTCCAAGATTTCATCTTGTGTGTTGCTTACCCTCATTTCTAAGAATTAAGGACCTGTCATACCCAACTACAGTTTGCCTTATTTTTGTTTAACTGTTCCAGAGCAGAGACCCCAGGCAAAAGGATGAAAGCCTCACCATGTTGCATGCTTTAATTTGTAACAAGGATTTTCTTGTTACTCTCATTCACACCCTTGAAAAACAGAAAAATTTCTCTGTGAAAGACAGGTATAGTATGATTATGCCTTATAATCTTCAAGCCATAGAATTAAGAGAAAAACGACATGGATTATGACACACACATATAGTTTTCACTACATACAAAGCAAATTTAAGCTTTTCCAAAGTATTTTTCCTTGTTCTTCACCTGAAACAAGCCATTAAAAAGAGATCAGAAGATTTATAGATGCCTATAGACACTGAACTAGCAAAATACCTCACCTCAGAGCAAGCAGTTCTTGCTTTATAATTTGGAACTTTTCTTTCATTGAAATGGAAACTATTCTTCTTCAGAATTAAATTTGGATACACAAAATACATTCTTTTTTAAATTGCTGGATGATCCTGTGTACTTTAAATTTTATAGAGACTTTAGTGGGTATTTGGGGTACCGAAAAAACGAAGGTTCAGCATATAGGCGTAACTGAAAGGTGTATGCTTATTTGAACTAATTTCACAGTAAGCTGTTATGAAAGGCTTAGGATCACCTTTCTATTGTCATAGATTTGAAAAGCAAATTCCAGATCTTTTAGTTATGACTTTTTTATTTTTTGTAAACAGGTGCTTGTTTGCATCCTTCTTGACTATTGCACTACAAAGTAAACTAGTCTACCTAACCCATATTCTAGAAGTCTTGACCAAGGACTTGATGGAGCAGTCTAGCAATACGCAACCTAAGCTCATGCTAAGGCGCACAGAATCTGTCGTAGAAAAACTGCTGACAAATTGGATGTCTGTTTGCCTTTCTGGTTTTCTACGGGTAAGTTTGACATCTTTCCACCACCTTAGACACTAGAATAAGGAATATTTTCAACATAGCACATGCTGACTTCTTCCATGCAGAACTCATGAGAGATCTGTTTGTGCATGAAACCTAACTTTCTATATTACTAATATACCCATATTACTATCCTGATCACTTATCTAGACAGCTGTCATTATGCAAAGGTAAGAAAAGAGCAACGGTATAAATGATGCTAACAATCTGTACTTGGGTTGGACTTTAGATAATTTTGAAACTCTGACATTTTCTTCTGTTGCTTCACATATTATCATCCAAACCCCATCAGATATTTTCTTGTCATGGCAGAAGATTCACATTGTGGTTAGAATGCAATGTGTATTCTCCTCCTCAAAAGCTATCATAGAGCTATGCTTTGAGAGAGTTTAAAGGGAGGCTGTCATTTTGAAAACCTCACTTCTGTTTGAATTTTTTTGCCTATTTTGTTACAGCTAACACCTATGATTAATAGAACTGTAAGAGGTTGGGGGGAAATGATCCCTCTCATTTTACAGTCTGTTTAATTTAGTCCATTTGGTTGCATTTTGTGTGCTGACAATTTTGTTGTTTGAGGTTGTACTTCCTGTTGTGTGCACTAATATGATGACATCTCTCCCATGCCCTGTTTTGCAGGGAGCTCACGTGCTTTGCCCTAAGGTCTGCAAAGTACAGCAGCAGGGTAGTTTGAAGCTGGCAACTTTCCTGGGACCCAAGTATAGAGCTAGGGGACAGTCAGAGGAAACCTGTTCTTCACATCCCAGTCCTCTTTGTGGGGCTGAGGAGCAATGGTAGCTTGGGATGGTAGGGTGACCTACACAGGGTTGGGGAGTGAGTGACACCTGAGAGAAGATGACAGGTCCCTCTGAGAGCTCCAGAGGCGAGCTAAGCCAGGCCAGAAGAGGCAGGGGAGTCAGGCTTTCTCCACTAGCTGCCTGCCTGTGCCCAGCATGGAGCTCTGAACTGTCGTGGCAGGAGCTCCAGGTGGCTCTTCCCATTTGAGTAAGAGAAACAGGAGTTGGGTGGGGATTTACGAAAGAACAGATAAACCTGCACAGAAAGTATTTTTAATTGCAGGACAGCTGAGCAACTTGGCTAAAAAGGAAGTTTGACTGGCTTCAAATTGTTGGTGTCCCACTAGAGTTCCAATGGGAATGCAGAAGAAAGAACTAAAGCTGTTGCTTGTTTGTGTTTGGTCTTATTTCTTAGGAGACAGTTGGAGAACCATTCTATAAGCTTGTGACTGCCCTCAATCAGAGGATAAACAAAGGGCCGGTAGACGTAATAACTTGCAAAGCCCTGTATACACTAAATGAAGACTGGCTTCTGTGGCAAGTGACCGAATTCAAACCAGTGGTATGTTTGCCAAGCTACTTTTCCTTCAAATACTGAAATGTTTTGAAAGAACCCACAACATTCTTCTTATGTTAGGATGCTAAATTGAGTCTCTTAGATACTCCAGTGATGGTGACAGTCTAAGTACCTAGATAGATAAAAATGGGCAGAAAACAAAATTATTATTATTAACACAGCTTCAAAACACAGTAGATGTGAATTAACCCACATTTCACCAATCTGATACCTTCTGCTTCACAGCAGTGATCTAATAGCCAAGCACTGTATCGAGGTCTCATGATACTTCAAGTTATTCTTATTAAAAATTATACTATAGAACATTTGTAAGTACACAATGAGGTATTGAAGTAAATAGTTAAAACTAGATTACATTTATCAACAGTACACAGGAAATTTTGTGATGCTGGATACCTGGGATTTTATTGTGTTTGCTTACTCAATAATCCTCAGAATTCAGTAATTCACTGTGGGCTTTCCTGTCATTAACTGCAAATTAGTAAAGTTGTAGTGTGGTGGATTTTAATTAGTTGCCTGAATAAAAACAAGGTCCCTATGAAACTTAGCTAAATCATAAAATTCCAGAGTGGTGGTGTCAGAACTTTCCTCTATACATAGATTTGTTACATTCATCAAAACAAATAAAATGTTCTTACCATTTTGCACTTATTGCTGCAATCCAGCTACTACTGAAGATATTTTCAACCTGAATTACCAAGGTATCCTTTTTTTAAAAAAAGATGATTGCAAAAAGTTAATTAAACATGTTCTGTTTCCTGTGTGCTATGAATCCTTGGGTTTTCTAGGTTTTTTACTGATTTGTAACAAATATTTGGTGCTGCACATTTAATGTTCTGTGATAAAGATAGGTTTTATATGTTATAGCTAAAACTATTAACTGTCTAGATCACAGGTTTCCCAACTGTGATCCATGCACCAAATGCTAGTGGTCCACAGAGAAGTGGCTAGTCCCATGGCATTGGTTCTCCTCCTTATTTCTAGCTCTAAAACACATTGAAAGATGTTTAACACTATATTAAGGGTGAGATTTCAAAAAGCACCTAAGAGATGTAGGTACTGAGCTCTCAATGAAAGCTAATCTAATACTTTCTTGGTTTTTCAAGTATGCAATTGCTGCTGTTGCCGTGTGGCCATTATGCTATCAGAAAAGGGAGGTGAAATGGTTTGTGCAATTCTACATGGGAGGCTGAGTTGGTCTGTGTGATTGGGAACGGAAGGGGAAATGGGAGACCGATAACTTTTGTTAGAATGTTCCAATACCCTGCTCCAGGTTCACTCAGTCTGGCCCAGAGTTAAACATATATTTAAAACACAAAATTACACAAACTTGAGCCTGATCCCAGAGTAGTATTTGATGGAATCTGTGGGTTTGAAAAGTAAAAAAAGACAGGAAACACAAACTTTGGACATGAAGTCTTCAAGTGTGGAAGAGCAGACAGCTGTAAGATGCAGATTACTATCAAAATGAATGGCCTTTCTTTGAAACAAATTAGCCCTGTCCAATAGGAGTGTGAGGTCTAACATGGACTGGTCAACCAACAGCATCCTACTAAATGGAAAACAAAGTTTTATGATAGCGGACTGAATATTTTGAACAATCAGGTCTACTTTACTGACAAGAGAGAGAAAGGTCCTGCAAGACATCACTGAGTGATTGGCTCTTGGAAGCCTTATCCCTGAACACAGAGGAGCAGCAATGTTATGAGAAGTAGGCCTACCGCATAAGAGTGAAATACATCCAGTTTCCAAATAAAACATCCTGGATATGTTAATTTTGGTCACATTTTATTAGATATAGGAAAACTAGATGAAGGCCGTGTGATTTATGAAGATACTCATCAGCAGCCATTGCAGCCAAGCAATCCCCAATAGAAAACCAGCAGTATGAACTGTGGTGATCAGAGAGAATTCTGAATAATAAATGGGACTAATAGTGAGCGTGCCCTCCACTGATAGTACTTATCTAATCTTAGACTATATTCTATAGCACTGTTTGACAGTTCTAGAACCTCTTGGTGGCTGATTATGCCTGCAGCGCTAGAAAACTCATATTCTCCTTTTCTTTATTCTCCCACGCCCTCAGGTTCCCCAGTTTCCACCATTTATTTCAGTCCTGTGTTGGTTTGTTCAGGCTTCTGAGTGTCATGTTCCTGGATTTGGCTTCTTTCTTCATTGTTCTGCATAGTATTTCTCTAGCTCAGGGGTGGGCAAACTTTTTGGCCCAAGGACCACATCTGGGTGGGGAAATTGCATGCAGGGCCATGAATGTAGGGCTGGGGCAGGGGGTTGGGGTGCGGGAGAGGTGCAGCAGGGGGCTCAGGGTAGGGGGTTGGGGTGCAGGAGGGGTTTGGGGTGCAGGAGGGATGCGGGGTGTGGCATGGGGTTGGGGTGCAGGCAGGGGGCTCAGGGCAGAGAATTGGGGTTCGGGGTGCAGGAGGGGTTCGGGCTGCGGGCTCTGGCCCGGCACCGCTTACCTGGAGTGGTTCCAGGATGGCAGTGGCACAGAGCAGGGCTAAGACAGGCTCCCTGCCTGCCCTGGCCTCGCGCCACTCCCAGAAGCGGCTGGCACCACGTCCTTGCGGCCCCTGGGGGAGGAGGAACAGAGGGCTCCATGCTCTGCCCTCCCCTGTGGGTACCTCCCCCGAAGTGCCCATTGGCCGCAGTTCCCCGATCCCGGCCAAAGGGAGCTGCGGGGGGCAGTGTCTGGAGGCGAGGGCAGCTCACAGAGCCCTCTGCCGCTCCTCACCCAGGGGCTGCAGGGACGTGGTGCCGGCCATTTCCAGCAGAGGTGTGGGGCCCACGGCACCATGGGGATGGCAATCCTGCGGGCCAGATCCAAAGCCCTGACAAGCTGGATCTGGCCCGTGGGCCGTAGTTTGCCCACCCTTGCTCTAGCTCATCCTTTTTCTCTTTTTCCAAGTGGGTGTGCATATTATCATTTGCCATGGAAATCACACTGTTGGCATCCTTAAAGTGTGTCCTTTAAGGTGTGTCCCATTGTTGTCATCTGACCGTGTTTGATGCCTTAGTTTGGTTTGCTCTATTTAGAATTTCTGCTATTGCAAGAAATTCTTTCCAATGGATTCTTAATATCTTCCTCAGTTACTTTGGAGTGAGTTCATCATATCAATTTCTGTTGTAGATTTCCATGACTCTGCTCCATAAAGGAGGACAGACATGATGCTAGTGTTAAAAATTCATACTTTTGTGTCAGTGCTAATCATGCTACTTCTCCAAATCTTTTTGAGTTTATGAAAATTGTTGGCTGCTTTTGATATTCATTGCGTGACAACTGGTATGGTGTCACCATCATTGTACATCTCACAACCTATATAGCTAAAATGACTTACTTCTAGTGTTTCTTCATCCACTCTAGTGGTTACTTTGTCTTCCCCTTGTTGATGAACAAGCCAACTTGTTTGATCATATCAGCCAAAAGCTGAGTATTTTCTTTGATTAACTGATGGGTTGAACTAAGCTGGACAGTGTCCTCAGCAAATATGTGGTCATCTAATTGTGCTTTATCATTTGTCCATTAAATTCTTCAGTTGCCTTCTGCAGTTACTTTCATAACATAGTATCAGAGGGGTAGCCGTGTTAGTCTGAATCTGTAAAAAGCAACAGAGGGTCTTAAAGGTGCCACAGGACCCTCTGTTGCTTTCATAACATAGTCAATGACCAGTGCAAACAATTGTGGGGACATAATACAATCTCTCTGTACACTGTCAAAAGCCTTCTGGAAATTTATAAAATTGATAACAAGCTGTGCTTGCCACTGCATACTTTGCTTTGTAATATGTCTGAGAACAACAATATGGCCTGCACCTGATCTCAGTGGTCTAAAATATGCTTGTTCCTCTAAGTTGAAGGGCTATTTGGTTCTTGATACATTCCAGGATGATGTTGCACATGATTTTCCCAGGCACTAAGAGTAATGGGATTCCTCTCCAGTTACTAGTATCAGGGGGTAGCCGTATTAGACTGTGTCCACAAAAACAACAAGGAGTCCGGTGGCACCTTAAAGACTAACAGCTTTATTTGGGCATAAGCTTTCATGGGTAAAAAACCCACTTCTTCAGATGCATCTCCAGTTACTGCAGTTGGTCAGGTCACCTTACTTTGGCAATTTTACTATAAGGCCTCTCTTCATTGGGTTGGGTTCTTTTCTCCATTCCATATTCTGTCCAGAAACACAAGGAAAATCTGGAGAGCTGTTTCATCACTTGCTTTAAGCATCTCTCCACTATTATTATCCTCTTCTGCTGCTTTCCCATTTTTGAGTTTACTGATGGCTTTTCTAACTTTTTCCCATTGTAATATCTCCTAAATCAATAGGCAGCTCTAGGAATAGATCTTCATCACATATTTCTAGTAATTTGCTCGGGCTTGGTCTTTTAGGCTTGAACAAGAGACCAGCTTCATGTGAAGAATATGATGGGGATTGGTCAAACCCATAAGGAAGCACATGTCATGAAAAGTGCCTTGCTCAAGGTCACATCAGTAATGAAAATAGGACTTTGGAATGTGAGAACAATGTATGAAGCTACTAAAACTGCCCAAGTAATTAAAGAAATAGATAGATAACATCTTGATGTCCTTGGAATCAGTTAGTGTAGATGGACAGGGCTGAAAAACTACACTTCAGAGAAACAAATAACACCATCATTTTCGAGAATGTGGATGTTAGACATGAAGCTGTTGTAGCAATCTTGATGTTGAATGAAGCAGATCAGACATTGACTGAGTGGGAATCAGTCAAAGGAAGTATTATTAGAGCTTGCTTTCAGACTCGATTATTCAAACTATCAGTCATACAGTGCTATGCGCTAACCAACGAAAAGCAAGATGAGGAAAAAAATGCTTTTCATGATTTGTTACAGGATGTGTTAACAAAGGTCCCAAAACATGATATCATAATGACTATGGGTGATTTCAGTACAAAGTAGAAATTTACAGTGTAAACTACCCAATGATAGGTGGAA